TATCATGTACTCAACATATCACTGAAAGTATTAATATGAATTTCACTGAAACCATTAATAATAGTCAGTTTCAATAACAATTCAAAAATAACCAGTCAAATATTTTGGGCTCAAATTTAGAAAGGTAGTAGTTCGTAAAGACATTCTAGCATAATTGCAATTCTAATATGTATAGGAAAATTCTTATAGAAAATCAAGTATACGGAATTATCACAGTTTATGGGATGTTAATTCGTAAATAAACATTTCACAGACAATGCTATAATCAATTGCAAAATATCAGTTTTCAAATAATAAGGCAGTCATTTGCACATGAAATTTACAATGTCTAAATATTAAAAAACAGTAGAAAGAAATCTCACAAGTTTACTAAAAGCAGAAATACCACATTTATTTGAAATAATTTTATGGTATCTAAAATTTTCTAACAATAGACAACAAAAATAAATAAATTTATTTTTCTAAGAATTTACAGCATTTAAGATTTCTAACATAGATAAAATATCACAATTTTATTAAAAAGATTATTTTTCAAAATAATGAGGTCGCTTGCGCATAAAATTTATCGCGCCTAAAATTCATGATAATAAGCAGAAGTAATTATCTCATTTCATTTTTTAAAAAAAATGGATTATTTTTCAAGATAATGAAGCCACTTTTCTAAAATAATTGAGAGGGAGCTTCTGATAAAAATTCGGCTAAAGAGAGAAAAAGCTCACTGCGTTTTGACTAGAGAGAGAAAGATCTCAAAAAAATTTTAGGGTGGGAGTCCTCGCCTCTCCTATTTAAATTCTTAAGATACCTTATCTATTATGTTATTAAGTTACACCTCATACATGAGATGTAAAAATTATGTTACACATGAAACGTTTAAAGCCCATGTTCACTAAAAGACGTGGTAATGAAAGGAAAATGAGTATTCAGAGTATTCTTAAACACAGTACCAACAAATTTTTAATTTCAAATAATCTCTTTTCCCCAACTCTATTCTACTGCTATCAACTGGTATATGTCATACTTAGCAAGCCTTTGAACAAAAGAAGATCTTTTAGAAAAAAAAACTTTTGGTTTTTTTGAAATCTATTATAGACTTTGAGTTCATTAAAAGAGCCACAAGAGATGTAGCTTTTTATTGAACCAATATAAATACATAATTATTTTTTCAAAATAAGTTTGTCATAAAAAAAAACTTTTTACCTATAATTTTCTTCAAACTTCCCTTATCTTTAGTGATTTGATATACTTGAATTTTGTTTTTGAGATAAAAGTGGGATTAAACTAAGATCCTTGACTTAACAAAGAACTTCAAAAAAAAAAAAAGATTTCATCAATATATTCCCATTAAAAATTGTACTAAAATACAATACCACCAAAATATTCCTAAAAAAAGTATTTTCCAAAAACAATAATATATCTCAAAATCATAGGCAAAAGTTAGTGGAAGAGTAACTCAACAAAAAATCTTGTTTTATCTAAATCATGCGAATCATTACAACAAAAATAAAAATAAACGAGAGAGATATGTAGTCACAACTAAAGATTTAGGTAACTAGGAATTAGGGAATATTGGGTTTACTTTTAGGAATTTATTAGTAAAAGAAGTAATTTTGTTACTTCCTCTTTATCTGCAAAAGTTCGATTAATTTACCTTTTTTAATTTTTTTGTTATTTCATCGGTTATACAATGCAATCATATGGATGAAACATTTTTTCACTTTTTAGGGTGTTTTAAGATTTAGTTAACTATAATCCTATAATGAAGGTCGTATTTTTCCCTTTATACTAATAATGCAATACCATGGGTTATAGTTATTGTTATTTGTTAATGTAATTGTTCTATTAGAGTATTGTTGTTTTTGTTTCATTCTACACCCCAAATAAAATAATATCTTTTTTTTATCGTGAAACTGAAGGAAGATTATTGTTGCATTTAAAACTTAGATAAAAAATTTGAAAAATTTGTCAAGTAGGACAGGATCGTAAACGTTTTCAGGTATGGACAAAATATTATAGCAAAATGTCTTTGATGTAGCCTTAAATGACTACAATTTCTATTTTCAACTTACATTATCTTTATATATCTGATTTTCACTCCACTTTTTGAGCCAAATTCAAAATACTCATAATTCATTAACTTATCTAATATTTTGGAAAGAAATATGTTAATCTTGGCAAATTAATCCATTGATATCTTTCCAATGGCATTAAGCAATGACATTTTAGATATTTTTCAGAATTTCAAATTAAAAAAATAAAGCCATTTTATTTGAACGGAAAGGGAAATACTGAATAGAAATTTACAATTCACTTTTACTTTCTCATTTCATGGTTTCATCTCATCTCCTACTGTTGTTCCTGTTCCTCCTTCCTCTTCCTTCATGTTCTGCTTCCTCTTCTTATCTCATCTGTCCTGTTGCAAGTACAAAAACCTAATCCAAAGACCTAAAACTACTTCTTCTTTCCTACCTCAGGTCAAGGAAATAGGATGAGACGCCAGTCCATCTCTCTACAGGTAAATAATCTTTATTTATTTTTGGTTAAATTGGTAAATAATCTTTTCCTCTCAAAACCATGGTGCCCTAGTATTGGGTGTCTCTCTCACTAAAAGAAATAATTCCATAATTATATTTTTTCGCTCTTTTTCTACACTTCTAATTAATTAAAAAAAGTTAATTCTGTGAAGGAAGCATGAAATTATGCAGTGTAAATCATGATAAATGTTTTTTTTGGTTATTTATTGTCTGGGTAGATGTAGCGTAAAATTTTAAAACGTGAAAAATACTCGGTTTGTATGTGCCTTTGCGGGTACTCATCTTACTAGTAAATCGTTATTTATTAGATATCTAGAAACCCTCTCTCTATCTCTCTCACTCCCACTCTCTCCACATCAAAACCTGTTTTTTTGCATTTCCAAGACCCATGGATTTCACTCATTGACTCCCTCATACCCGAAATATAAGGAGCATTTGGTGGTTATGATAATTTTAGAAAGAAAAAATACGTAAATGTTTTTAAAGAGATAAAATATCTCAACATTTTTAGAGAAAAAGACAACCTCAAATTTTAACTTTTAAAGAGAGAGAGTATGTTAAAATTTTAGAGAAAAAAAGTACCAAATTTTTTTTAGAGAGATGAACTATCTCAAAATTTTAGAGAGAGAAACTATCTCAAATTTTAACTTTTAGAAAGAGAAAGTATGTTAAAATTTTAGAGAGAGAAAATATGTTAAAATTTTAGAGAGAGAAAGTACCAATTTTTTTTTAGAGAGATGAACTAACACAAAACTTTACAGAAAGAAACTATTTCAAATTTTAACTTTTAAAGAGAAAAACTATGTTAAAATTTCAAAAGAGAGAAAGTATGTTAAAATTTTAGAGATAGAAAGTACAAATTTTTTTTAGAGAGATAAACTATCTCAAAATTTTAGGAAGAGAGACTATCTCAAGTTTTAAGTTTTAGAGGAAAACTATCATATTTTAGAGAGAGAAAGTACATACAAAAATTTTAGAGAGATAAACTATCTCAATTTTTTAGATAGAGAGACTATTTCAAAACTTTTAGAGAGAAAAATTTTCATATTTTAATTTTTAGAGAGAGAAACTAAATCAATTCTTAAGTTTTAGAGAGAGAAAGTATTCTTAAAATTTTAGAGAGAGAAAGGATTCTTAAACTTTTAGAGAGAAATTTTTGGAGAAAGAAACTATTGTAAAATTTATGTTTTAGAGAGAAAAAGTATTTTAAAATTTTGGAGAGAAACTATATCATTTTTGTTAGAGAAAGCACATGAAATTTTTTGAGAGAGAAACTATCTCAAAATTTTTAGAGAGAAACCATCTCAAAATTTAAGTTTTAGAGAGAGAAAGTATCTCAAATTTTAAACTTTAAAGAGAGAAAGTATCTCAAATTTTAGAGAGACACTATATCAAATATTTAAGGGAAAAACTATTTCAAAATTTTGGATAGAGAAGCTATCTCAAACTTTAAGTTTTAGAGAGAGAAAGTATCGTATAACTTAAAAGAATAACTATATCAAATTTTAGAGAGAGAGAGAGTACATAAAAAGATTTAGAAAAAAACTATCGCAATATTTTTAGAGAGAAATTATCTCAAATTTTAACCTTTAAAAAGAGAAAGTATCTTAAATTTTTAAAGAACAACTGTATCATATTTTAGAGAGTAAGACTATTTAAAAATGTTTAGAGAAAGAAACTATCTCAAAATTATTTAAAAGGGAACTATCTAAGATTTATTTTGCATTTCAAATATCTAAAATTCTTAATTTCCCCCTATCCAAACGAACCCTTAGAAAACTTGGACTCCATCAATAACGATGAGCGGTGGGAGGGAGACGAGACGAAAAGTTGAAAAAGAGAGGGGGGTCGCTGGTACACTTTATCTTAGGGATTGGAGTTGTGTTTTTTTGTTTTTTTAGAGGAGTTGAAGTCTTCAATATGGAAATTGTGAAAATCTCAGTATATTAGGAAATATATGTATAGTTGGATGTAGGACTTTCAAAAAACTTTGCAAGCTTCATAAGTGTGAGGCTTTTTAAAGTAAAGGAAAAAGTCTATAAAAGGATGCAACCTTATAACGTAGAACTATAGATGTCCCTTAAAAATCCATTGGAAAATGTAGTTTTAATGTTGAAAAACTGTTTGATTGATCATCTCGACATCGAGATGTATAACTATAAAAAATAAAAAGATTTTGTCTCAAAAATAGTATATTTTACAACATATTATCTACACCATTTAGTTTCAAGATTTTCCCAAGTTTATAGATCTACTTGATTTTAACCATTTTTTAGATTTAAAATTTTATAATTAGATATAAAAATACATTTTGAGATAATCCTAAAAACATTTAATATCAAAATTATATACCATTGTAAAATTTGAAAGTGCACTTTTCGTCTACACCTACGGATGGATCCGTATGCCAACTACCACCTAAAGTAAATTTTCCAAAATTAAATTACACAATAATAGATGTGGCTTTTTATAAATAGTACTCACAAGACTAGATGCACAAGAGTTCATTTAACTCTCAACATTATTCACATATTTGCAGCAACATCTGTGAGAGAACCAAGTAAACCCTTCCTACTGTTTGTAGCACACGTGCACATCGACACATGCACAAACAAGGCTCACACTTGTGTGCAATCTACAGGAGCAAATGACTGGTTATACATTAAACAAGTATTTGTGTGAACAAGTAGATTTGATCAGCGTTTCTCTGGAAGCACTTGCTTTATAAGCTTCTCTAAGTTATTGTAAGAGCTGCCTCCTAATTGAACAACAGTTATTGAGATCTCTTTCCATTTCTTGGCCTTTAACTGCATCTCTTTACCCTTCTCTCCTTCCATCAACTCCCTCACCAATGCTTCCACCTCCTCCCTCTTAACATCATTGTTTACTTCCATCCCAACGCCCCATTCCTTGCAAACGTACCTGCAAATTGTTGGATGATCAGCAAAGAAGGGCCAACATATCATCGGCACACCATTGCTAATGCTTTCAATTGTCGAATTCCATCCACTGTGAGTTAGGAAGCACCCAACGGCAGGGTGTGACAGTACTTTAATCTGGTTACACCAACTCAGGATTAGCCTTCTTTCTTTGGTTTCTTCGACAAATGTTTTTTCTAACGTTGCCGATTTGCCGAATACGAGATCTTCACGAATGACCCATATGAAAGGCCTTTGGCTATTTGCAAGACCCCAAGCAAATTCGTTGAGTTGATTGGGTGTTGCAACTGTCGCACTGCCAAAATTCACATACACAACTGACTTAGGTTCCTTGTCATTGAGCCATTCTACACAAGTATCCTCTTCATTCCAAAGACTCATTGAAACCGACTTTAAACGGTCATTGGATTCAAATTGGCTAAAGGTTGCAACAGGGCCAATTGTGTAGATTGGGCGACCGATTCTTTCTCTCATGGCATCAAGAACAGGTTTATCTAAATCTTCGAATGTGTTGAGAATGATAGCCGAAGACTTGAGAGTATTAGGGCTTTCGATTGTACAAACCTGTAACATGGGATCATTAAGATTGGTCGTCCTGATGAAGGAGGGTAAGTCCCTTAGACGGATATTGGGCATGCCGGGTATCCAATCCACAACTGCTTCTAGGTCACCGTTGGTCATGAAATTCTCATCTGCATTTGCCAATACCATAACATCTAAAATACGAGTTTTCTCTAGGGGTGGCAATCGGTTAGGGCCGACCGGATGACATGGGCAGTCACCCCAATCCGAGTTTGAATCAGGGTCCAAGTTTTAGATTGGGTCCAAGGCTCCATGCCCATAGCCTTGAATTCGAATCGGATCTAGGTCGGGTTTGGGTCCAGGTCGACCCGAGCTGGACTGGACCCAAACCTATCTATATACACACATACACATAGTACATACATCATATATAATTATAATGTATGTGTTTGATCTCATGCGACCATGTCATTGAAATATAATGAAACCAAACTTCTATAAAATATGGTCAAAATGAGTCCCCTTCAATAATAAATCAAAACTATGGAATTGGTAATTTGAAGGTCTAGTCATTTATAATCTAACGATAGTAAAGCTATTTAAAAAAATTAGAAAGGAAAATTTTTCATTTTAAAGCCTAGATCTTAGCATCTCACTAAATCGATGGCCCATGGAATATGGCTAAAACAAAGCTTTTTAGGGTGTATTTTAAAATTTAGATCTTTTGGGGTTGTTAATTAGAATCAAAAAAATGTATATTTAAAAATTGGAGTAAAATAAATGCCCTTAATATGGTTTTTGAAGATTGTCTTGT